GCTTCAAAATTTTGTTTTATATTTATATTTCAGACAGTTCATTCAAATGATACATTGATAAGGTATTTATTCATTATATTTTGACAATGTAATTTTTGTTAACATTTTAGTCAAAACACTATATTTGCCTATTTCTCCATATACCACTTTTGGACGTAATCCTCGTTTCGATGTGATGGGTCACATTTATGAAGCATTTTCTGAAGAGCTGTTAAATACAGGAAGATGATGCATGAAAATCTCTCCTGCATCTAAGAACTTTGTCAAAGTCGATCAAAGTGGCTGTACCACGTAGTGGGAACTGAACTCCATCCCCTCTTCTTTACCACTTCAATTCTGCTTCAGACAAAACTCTTCAATGAAAAGTAAAATCAGCCCCCAACAAGTTCATGCAATGCAAACAACCTGTTTCCCTACAGAAAACAGGCTGCTGGTTATTGGCCTAAACAGGCAGCTTTGAAACACTGCCGGCTAATAACGATTTTTAATTTACCTGCAGTTCTTCTTTTAATGGGTTTTGTTCTCCAAATATTAAATTGTTCTTATGTTTTCAGCAGGTTTTCGTCCTCTCGGGGCTCCTTGTGTTTGTGCTGTGCGTCATCTCCTCTCTCTGCCAGGAGGAATATTCCGGATACCACTCAGGTCACTGAATATTTATGATTATATTAAAAAAAAACATTAAAGTAGCGATAGTTTTAGAATGATCTTATGTAAAATCTCTATGTTTTATAGAGTAAGTTGAAACCAAATTACAAGTTACATTTTTTTTGGAATTATTTTGTGTCAGACCACTTGTATGAAAGATGTTTTCATAAATATATAAATATAAAGAGCAGCCGCCTACATTTGCGTCATTTAATTTGCGAAATTCAGTAAAAATGACATTCTTATCTGTTCACCTGTGCAGGTGAGAAACATGTTTATGAAGAGTCGTCTGCAGTCGACCACGATAACATAGGTACAACTGGTGAGGCTGGTGTTTATCACTATTTAACACTATGGTTAGCAGCAAGTGTAAACTGTACCAGAATGAAAACTGGCAGCTGATAAATATTTATTTTGAAAACTTGGACCAACATTTGCAAAAGTAAAAAGTTAAGTTGAGTTGTATATTGTTCGAACGCTGTTTTCTCAGAGTATCAGCCTGAGCCGACTCATTATGATGAAAACCAGCGAGCAGTGGACGAGGACTATGACCCCACCAGAGTAACCATGATCACAGAGGACACCTTTCCCTTTGAGACCGTCACTGAGTCCCACTACGCCAAGGAAGACACTGAGACCATGCAGGTGGGACAATTCATGGCGTGTCAGCGTATTTCTGAAAAATGAATAAAACATGGTTTATTTGAATTTGTGTGACTTCTAATTTAACTTTGTGTTGAAATTGTGTTCCAGTGGTTTCTAATGTCAGTATTTTATTTGAAAGTTCTGTCTTTAAGTTATTACTAGTCACCAAAAAAAAAAAATAAATAAATAAACCACATTGAAATACCTACGAGATGAATTTATAAAATATCTGATTTTAATAGTTATAATATTCTAACTTAACCACAGGGTTGAATGTAATCAAGGTATTGTTAAAACATCAGCAGACATAATATAAATACTAAGTTATCTTTAGGTAAAATCAGAGTGACAGTTATTGTGAAATATAAGTTCAAAGGATTTATATATACAGAATGTGATGTCCTGATGCATCTCAGTAATCCAGGTAAAAAATCAAAAGAAAAAAAATTTATAGGTCTTCTGGACGGGTTCTTCTTTAATGAAATGTTTCGTCTCTCTTCCAATAGACTTCTTCAGTCTGAGAGTTTCAGAATTTCAATATTGTATATGCTGTTAAGTGCCAGGAGGACTGCGACCAGTTATACATCGGGGAAACAAAGCAGCCACTGTTCAAAAGAATGTCCCAACACAGACGAGCTACTTCTAATGGCCAGAACTCTGCAGYTTTCACTCATTTACAGGCCAGCGGTCACTCTTTCAGAGATGAGGATGTTCTCATTCTTGATAGAGAGGAACGTTGGTTTGAGAGAGGAGTAAAAGAAGCCATTTTTGTGAAGAAAGACCGTCCATCATTAAACAGAGGTGGAGGCCTCCGTTTTCAGTTGACCCCCTCCTACAGCGCTGCCATTGGCAGTATCACTCCACCCCCTGTTAACAATAGGTGTTAATTAGGTGTGAACTATAGCCATGTGATGTGAGTATCAGTCACATGGAGGCAGGACTCAAAAGCCTGAATTTTGCCTGAAACTCTCAGACTGAAGAAGTCTCTTGGAAGAGAGACGAAACGTTTCATTAAAGAAGAACCCGTCCAGAAGACCTATACAATTTTTTTTCTTTTTACAGAATGTGATGTTTCATAAACAGATAAAGAGTTACATATAAGAAACTTCTGTTTTCAAGTAGACACAACACATTTATGTACCTATATTTACATAAACACACTTTAAAAGCAGAACATTTCATGTTTTAAAGTTGTAATCATCCTGTTTCAGGTCCCATTTAAGTTCCCAGCAGGACCAGAAACGGAGTCCTCAGAGGAGTCTGGAGGTGATGCTGCACTTGGAGAAGAAGGACCAACAGAGTGCGACTGTGAACCAGGAGAGCCTGGTTTTGCTGGTTTTGCAGGACCAAAGGTATTTTTACACCACATTGCTTTAGTTTCTTTATTTTAAACTGCAGGCTGCTAACGATGATGATAAACACATAAAGACACTCCTGTGTAAACATACTGTTCATTCTGAGGTGCTGTCATTTTCTGTGTTGAATTTAAAATATATTTTTACTGAGAAACAAATGTACTATAGGCTGATTGAGAATATTTTGACAGGACAATTTTCATCTAATTAAATGAGAGACTCCCTCTCATTAACAATTAAGAAAATACAACAAAACATTGAAAAGGTTTGTTTTTTCAGGGTTCCTGCAGATCCTTAAAAACTCTTAAAAGGCATTGAAGTCATCAATCCAAAAATAAGGCCTTAATTAGCCTTAAAATGTCTTAAATCAATATTTCAGAAGTCTTAAAAATGTTAACACATTGTAAATAGGATGATTGTAATTCATCTCAAATATTAAAATAATTGGTAAAAATTATTATTTTTTAAATATTCACATGCAGACATTCCCCTTTGACATCACTTCCTGTTATTTCACATGCAAATATCTCAACAACTGTCCATCTGAGCAATGTGAAATTTGTTTTGTAATATGTTAGTGTTGTTTCCAAAAATGCATTCACTTTTCTTACTAAAAATCGATGTCACATGCCCTTTAAGGTTTCATCTACAGCAATTTGGGGTTAAGACCCCACTGTGGGTCCTAAAACTCCAAATTTTGGTTCGTTGGAGGATTTCCTGAAATTAAATTAAGTTTAAAACCAACTGCAAAGAATGTTTCTGCTATAATTAGATATGGATAAAAACAACTGGTCTATTAGCAACATTTTAATACTTCAACCAAAAATACTTTGGTTTATGAGTTTCTGCCAGTTTTTATTTTTTTGTCATTTGTGTTTATTATGAAATTGGTCTTAAATTTAATTTCACTTGGCATTAAAATGTCTTAAAAGGTCTTGATACCACTCAACTTTTGCTTCCTTAGTACTTTCTGAACGTAAACATATAAAGGCTGACTAATTTAACAAGTTAACATTAAAAAGTTAAAAAAACACAAAAATATTGTTGAGTTTTTTTTATTCGGCATTTCTAATCACGTGTCATGTTTAGTGTTTAAGTCAATGCATCATTTTTAACCTGTAATAAAAACACATTTTGCCGACCCTCAAGTTTTCTATTTACTTGATTCATTTGCATATTAAACTGTTTTAAGAAACCTGATTCAAAATAAATTCCCATTTTTATGAGAAAATGTAGGTTCTCACAATTCAGGATGTGTTTAGAACATTTCAAGACTGCAGTGTTTGTGTGAAAACAGAAACGTTATCCGATCTGCAGGTTTTTTTTAACCTTTATTTAGTCTCACTGAGATCCAAATCTCATTTACAACAGAGATACCTGTTTTGATAAAACAACAATTACAAACACATGTATTACATAAAACAAGTAATTCAGAAATCTGACTCAGTTTATCTGATTCTCTCTGTCTGTCAGGGATCCAGAGGTCTGCAGGGTCAAACTGGTCTGCCGGGGATTCAAGGCAGAGAGGTGAAAGTCTAAACTCTGCAGCTACATGTTTGATTATGGCAAGCAAATCAGAACAGAATATGTATTTATTTACTTTAGCATTTATTTCATAAACATGCCGTGCATTCTAGGGTTATAAAGGAACCAAAGGAGTTCAGGGAAGAAGAGGAGATCCTGGACCAGTGGTGAGTAGATCATGTGGCAGCTGATGCAGTGATGGCATCATGCAAGACGGCTTCTGTTGATTCGTTTTACTTTCCCTGCCCACTCAAATCATTACTTTATTATGGTAACTGTGGACTGAAAGTAAAAAGCTTAAGAGAAAGTGAAAGTCACAGTCTGTAATTAAACACTAAAAGTTAATTATAGCTGGTGTAAACAACAAGGTAAAAGTGAAAGCAAAGAGTACATGGATGAACAAAAACAAACTTTTATATTAGCTTGGTTATTTTAGGCTTCATTATTATTATGAGTATTTTATTGAGTTAAACATTTTGAACCGTGTTTTAAATAGCAGGAATAATTCCTTTTAACGTTTTTGTATTAGAATGTCTGTTAGATGTAGGATATTTGAAACTCTGTACAAGTTAGATTATGTAGATTGTGCACATCTTATTCAAGTTTATGATCATGAATCAGGTTTTCTGGTACTTTTTGCAGGGAGATGTTGGAGCCGAAGGAGAAGACGGAGCTTCTGGTTTCTCTGGAGGGATGGTAACTTCACCATTCCAGAACTTGGATTTACAATAATAATTGTGAAAATGCTTTCATTATAGAATCTCAAATCTTAACCTGAGCTGTGAAGCCTGTTAAAAAAATAACTGAATTATTTATGTATTTATTTTTGTCAGGGAGATTCTGGACTACAAGGAGAACCAGGCGAGCATGGAGAAATTGGTGTAAAGGTAAAAGACCTTTTTTTTTAAATCTCATTTTAAACCATACAAAGAGTCATGTATTTATTTATATTTTTAATGATATGCTTTAATAAAACACTTCAGTTGGGACTGAGATTTATAAAAATACAAAGACAGCGAGGGGCGTTAACGTCAACCCACTGTTGTTACACCTCTGATCACATTTTTAACGTATTTTATCACCAGTCTTGTTGGATTAATCCGGTGTTTCCACCTGTCGACAGGGTGACGTCGGTATGGAGGGCCCTCGCGGAGGAGTCGGAGCTCCCGGTGAGACTGTAAGGACCCTGTCAGCCTGGTTGTGGTGGAACGTTCAAACGTCTCATAAGTAATCTGAAATGTGTCGTTTACTGAACAAACACGACGTGCAAACAGTTCAGATAAAAACACCTGCCATCCTCTGGTGAACGCACGTCACGTGTTTGGAAACCACGGGAGTTCTCTACGCCAGCTGTCGTGTTGTTGCTGCTCCTGACGTTAACCACCTGAGGGTGAATGTGGGAGTCTACCACCCAGCAGAACGGTTAAATCGGTGGAACCACCGAGTTAGGGCTCAAGGGTTTATTTTCTTGTTGTAAATTTTCTTTCATTTTCATTTTTCAGCAGAAGCTGCCACCAAAAGATGGCTGCGGCTCAGTCAGCTTTACAAATACTGAGCAACAGTTTGGTGTGGTAGTAGCTGACAGTCATCCCTAATATATACTCTCAAAACAGATTGCATGAGATACTGTTTTTATTGAAAAGTTTGGTGTATGAGGTGGTGGGTTATATTTATTTAAAAAAATCTATTTTCACTGGGCCTTTTAATTTTAATCAGTCAGTTTTTAAGTTTTTGCTTTCACTTTCACTATTATAAAATTTCAAAGCCAAAATAGTTGAGTTTAAAATGATTTTTTAACCACTGAGATTTAATTTAATTTTTTTGTATTTATTTCAGGGGCCTCGTGGTGACCCAGGCCCTGCAGGATCAAACGGGGGTAAAGGTATCAAGGTAACAGGTTTATCTTATGCATGCAGAGATAGGAAACATGCAAAAGTATTTAACAGTCGTGGAAAATAAATTAAATAAATATGATCTAATCACCTGATTTTTAATTTTGAATTCATTTGTATTTAATTTTTTAATGCAATAAATACCCTGCAAAGCAAATAATTTGTTTGTTTTTTTAACTCGTGATATTTGTTCAGGGGTCTCGTGGGGACCAAGGCAAGCAGGGTCTTCAAGGAAAGGATGGGCCAAAGGTAAAGAGATCACAACTTTCATATCTGCGTACAACGTTACACGGGAACGTTTATTCACCTTTTCAGCACAATAAAATGCTATGTTTCTTGTTTTATTTGTCTTTCTGTGTTCTAAACCATTACAGGCTGTTACTGTGTTTCTGCTCTGAGAAGCTTCAGTTTTATTTTCTGTCTTTAGGGTCAAACTGGAGCACCGGGATTTCCAGGAGACGTTGGTGAAAGAGGCTACTCTGTAAGACTAAACTTCTTTCACTTCAGATTTATTCTGGAGCGAGTATTTGTAAAAATGTTCTATTTTTCTAAAATAACAAAAAATGTTTCTAACATTTAAGTGTTTCTACACACTATTTGCTTATTTTTGATATTTTCTGATACTCGTGCTCGATTAAGTTTCTAGACTTCCATTTTTAACCATTATCTAGTCTCAAAAAGTTATTCATAATCACTAGTAAAGTAAATTAGGCTTGGAAAATGTCTGTTTTGTGCTTGAATTGTTTGATTGCTGAAACTTGAGGAGCAAAAATATTAACGTTTGTAAGTAAAATTGTTTTTTTTTTCTCCTTTTATTGAGTGTTTATGACAACTGACATGAAAAATAAATGTGACTTTTACCTTTTTATAGTTGTTCAAACTTCCTCGGACAAGTTATAATATATCACTCACTTTTCAAAGTCTTAAAATGTTCCACTTTGTTTAACGTTTTAAAGATATTTCACAGTTCATTGCTGTCACTTTCCCATCAGGGTTATCCAGGACAACCAGGAGCTGTTGGACCCAGTGGACCAAAGGTACAGACACACAGATATGTGAACTTTTATACTTTCATTTTCCTGTCTGCTGATATTTCTGTCAGGTTATTAAAAATGAAATTACATCCATCAGACTCAGAGATGATGGTGTGGAAATGTGCAACGGTGTCCACATTGTTTGGGAGAGTTTTACTTTCGCAATGCTAAAATAGAAAATTCATTTGTAATCTGTGAAATAATCTATTAGCAGATTAAATCTTAATATTGTTGCAGTTTTCCAATATTGTACACAAAATATCAACCTTATTTTTTACTTTATTTTTCAGCTTTTTTAATTTACTTTTTTTTTTTTTTACTTTGGAAGGCTGCAATCGCCAAATTATCTCCAAATTACTAACGTTATATCAAATAAATCAGGAAAATTAATGGGTGACTTAATTGTAAATCATAAACCCACATAACTAAAACTGAATGGAAAAATGGACAAATTAATGAACGTATCAAGATGTGATAAACACTGTGGACTCTAGGTGGCAGCAGTAAGACTTTATAGTAAATTAAAGAGTCTACTGAAACTTGACTGACAAAAACTAAACAGTCATGGTTAATGACTGACACTTACTGAGTCTGGTTAAACTGATGTGTGTAGATTGATTAACTCAGCATGTTAGCTCCAATAGCCACCCTAAACAGTGAGTGAGTGAGAGTGTGACTGATGAAGCACGTTTTTAGCCCAAATCCAGATTAGAAGTATTTTAAGAAATGTTAAATGACAATACTTAATTACCGCAATTTGTAGCAATCATTCAGCAGATTCTCTTTAGGTTATATTTTCATTTGTCAGTTTTCAGAGATCATGATCATGTTGAAGAAACCTCAGGTCATTTTTCTCTGCATCTCTTTTCATCTGTGTTGCAATCTTGTGTTATCAGTGAAAACTTGTTTTGTTTTTGTTTTGGTGATAGTATTTTGATAGTAAACATGAAGCATGTGCGAGTCAGAGCAAAATTCCCCCCATGAGGACAGAAACAACATTTCTCTCTCCTTGAGTTTCAGGCTTTCTTTCATCAGGTCTAAATGACAAATCAGGGCTTCCCCTGAGTGTATTTATGTAAATATCAAGAATACAAATTTTCTCAAATTATTTCTGGCATTTTTACTTTAATGTAAATTAAATCTAATGAGCTGACAGAAACAGAAACTAAAAGATCCAAAACTGAAAGTAAAACTATAATAGCTATTGTCTGTGTTTTAATCACACTGTCTGCTGTGAAACATTTTCTAAAATTCCCCCCGAGTGTTTGTTGCTTTAACATCTGATGGGATTAAAGTTTACAGTCATAATAAATTACCAGTGTTGAAGCAATACAAGCATGTGCACAGATTTCAAACGAAATGTCAATCATTTCCTTTTTATCACCATGTAGAATCTGGTGCTTTGTTGTGCTTTGGCAGCATCTGGGATTATTTATTGTAGTTTCCCAAAAACTGAAACTAAAACTGCAGCAATGCAAATTGATAAAATCAAAACAAATATTGGACAGAAATTAAACGCAAAGCTATGTTGAGGTGAAGCTGAATTGTTAGCATGTAGTTAATTATCAGCACAGTTTCATCAATAACCTGTTTAACTCACACGGCTACATCATGTGGACATTTTATTTTTAGAAGCAAGTAATGGACTTAATTACAAAATATTTTATTTTTACTACATTACATCCTTCCATTCTACACTTAATGTATACAGTGTCTTTAATCAAATATGCTGTTTGTTGTGTTTCTTTTAGACACACACTTTCATGCACCTAAGATATGTCAGGTTCAGTTTCTTTCAAAATAAGACCTGAGATGGCCAGGGATTTTATTTTAGCGTAACAAAAAAAATCAGCCTGAGTCACATCTGTGATGAACCTCAGGGTTTTCACAAAATGCTTTTAAATGCTGGTGAATTAAAGTATAGTTTTTTTTTTCTTAACCAGACATAAAATGTCGTTATCACGAGAAAAACCATGGTAAAAATTATCAGTGGAAAACGTTTGCCCTCGGCTTCAGTACATATTGATCTGATTCTTGATTTTATTTTTAAGATATTGATGTTTGTTGGAATTTTATTTAAAAAAATCTGCTGCTAATTTTAAATAAACAAAATCCCCATGTTGGTTTGAGAAATAACTTGCATTTTAACCTAGTAAGAGTCGGCTAAAAGTAGCACCGAATGAGGACCACGATGGTCTGATGATGAGAAAACTTTACCTGTGATCTTTGACAGGACCTGACTTGTTTATTATGATTAAGTAGGATATTTTGGAGTAAATTGTTTTTTTTTCCATAGTTGTATAGTGCTTTATCCTTGCTCATGTCTTTATTTTTCTGTCTTTCAGGGCGCTAAAGGTCTAGGAGGCTTTCCAGGCAGCGATGGTGAACCTGGAGAAGATGTAAGTGGATAAATTCAGGGACAAAATCTAATCTGAACTCATCTGTTTTTATTCTCAAATCATCTTTTACTGCTCTTTGCCTCCATAGGGTCCCATAGGAGTCCCGGGGCTGGCAGGAGAGCCTGGACTATTTGGTGTTAAGGTTTGTAAGTTAATAGTTTTTGTTTTTTGTTTGCTCAGTTGTTTTGCTTTTGTTTGGCTTGTATGTCAGTAACGTTCTAAAAGCTCTGTTACCATGTTTATCACAGAACCATGACTGTGATTTGAATGATTAACGCTGTCATTGTATTAACCTCAGCTTTACTGCTGTACTCAGAAGAAAAACACTTCAAAGCGGTATCAAACTGAAACCTGATCAAAAAGCTATTAATCTGATTAATTCATAAAAGCATATAGATTACAGGTGATATTACTTTACAACTGTTTCCTTCTGGGAAATCCCTCCTGATTAGTTTTAACAATGACTAAGTGGGAAATTTTAAAATCTGGTTTTCTTTCTCTAGATTATTTGGATTAGAGCCACCAACCATGATTGTGTTTGTTGGAAGTCATGAATCAGAAAAAGCAGCACCGTATCCGGTTGTGATAATAGCCCAAGATTGTTTTTAATACAAGTCCTAACAAGTCTGAAACTCAACAGTCCCACACAGGATTTCTGGAAGTATCATTTACAAAAACAACACAAATCCAGCAAAAATCCATAATTCTTTCACCAATAAAGAAAAAGTGCATAAATGGTTGTACGCATGCTTTTCCATTCACTTCCTCATACACGTTTAATTCCAGGGGAGTAAAGGTGACCGTGGCATCAGAGGACCTCGAGGCAGAGTGGGCAGAGCGGTGAGTGAATGCCACAGCGAGGCGGTTTGACTGATCTGAAAATGACAAGGAAGCACAGACACAGATAATATCTTTTTACCAGAATACCTTGTAGACAGACAATGAAGTTCTTTATGTGTTCTTCTGAATAAAACCCCGGCTTACTCACATATTATCTGACAGTTGCTCGTTTGTCTGTGTAGTCAACCTTTTATGTGTGACAGAAGAATTTGTGTAGAAATCAGACCATTTCAGGATTTTTGTTTTTTTTTCATTCACTTTAAGCCTTTTGCATCTCTGGTAACTTTATATGATGAGTGGGTAAATCCTGGAGGCTAAATCTGATAGAACTGGACAGATTAAAGCATTTACAGCTATAAACTATACAAAAAAATGTGAAAAGCACTTCTTTGCCTTGTTAGATTTCTCAAGAACAAACAGCAAAAACAATTACATTCAAAATCCACTTTTTTCACTATATAGAAAAACAACATGAAACCACTTCATTGAAGTCAGTCTGTTGCTCAAATCTTTTTTATTTTTTCAGATTTATGTCTTTTTTCAGTTTTTCTGTGGTTTTACATACTTTTTATTTCTTTGTCAAAGCAACAACAAAGCACCTCAAAAGTTAGACACAAAATGGTGAAATGAAACTATGACATCTTTTGACAAACGTCAATTCATTCTTGCTTAAAACTTTAAATGAGTTAACTAGCTTTATGTTTTCATTACTAGAATAAAACCAGTTCTGTTTGCTTGTTTCTTTTTTTAAAACAAAATCTGGGAGTTTCACCTAAAACCAAATAAAAACTGAATGTTCAGTTACATAAATTTCCACTATTTCTATTTGAATTTCTCTTTCTTCTTTCCGTCAGTTTCTGGTCATTCCTAAATTGTAGCTTAAATTTCATCAGAATTCTTTTTTGTTTTTAGCAAGATCAGTAACATTTTGAGAACTGGCATTAAACTCAGTATAGAAGGAGAAGTGAGAAGTTCCCAGTCTGGGTTCATTTTAACTGGGTGGACCTTTAACATTATTACATAGAACTAGATACCTCATTGCGGTATGACCCCCGCACATACGCAAAGCACCAATGCACCAAAACTCAGAACTCACCAGAACAGATTAATTGTTTTAGGTGGGGGTTGGGTGGAGTGAGGGGCTCATTGGTGGGCCAGATGGATAGCCCTTCATCAGAACTAAACGACAACAAAAATAAATATCTGAAGCTCCTATGTTGGAATTGTTTTGTGTTATAAGCATTTTTGTACGTCCAGACACCCCCTTTTTAGATGGAGCCCCCTCTTCAAACATGGGGTCTATCGTAAAACCATTGGCTGGTCCATAATAAAGAATGACACTGGGCCTAATACAGATGCATGTGGTGCGCTACAAGAAATTTGAAGGATTTTACAGAAAGGCTGTTTTGTCATTTGTTTTTTTCCTCAGACTTGTTTTTGATCTTAAATCTGAGACTCACTTCCTGTTTTTTTTTCTTTTTGTTCATGTGTTTTGGTCAAAATGTCAAACCACTTCTAAAAAGAAAAAAATCCCCACACAGGGCATCTGTTTTTCTGTTTTAACTGGCACCAACGGTATCAACAATTCTCTAGGCTGGTCTAAAGCAACTTTTCTGACAATGTCTAACTTCATACTCAAAAACCAAATGTTTCCACTTTGATTATCCTAATAAAAACAGATTGGTTGTTTGGAATTGGTTGATTTGTTTTAAGAATCCATCCATCCATCCATCCATTAAATGGATTTTACCTTTTTTTCTGTCTGATAATGTTGAGCTTCTAAACTGCAGCCAAGAAAAGATGATTTGACTTTTGTCAAAAATGTCTAAAACATCACATTACAGCATACTGTATGTATTATTTTTAACTTTTATACTATCAGCTGCTATCTTAAAGGTTTATAAAACAGAAAATAAAAAAAGAAGCTAATGCTAAAAACGATAAAAATAACACACACTTACACCTTTCAGTTTTCTTATTCAACAGGGAGCTCAAGGAGGACCTGGAGATGCTGGCGTCCCTGGAAAACCAGGACCAAAGGGCCTCCAGGGTCCTATAGTGAGTACACACAACCTCAAACTGTATACAACACATCAGCAACACAAAATAAACTCCAGTTATTCAGTCATTTTTTAGATTATACACCATATTGTTTATATCAACTACAACAAGTAGGAGATATTTGATGAGTTTTGATTTACTGGCATAAATTTTGTTTATGATACGGTACATCGTTTGTATTAAAAAGAATAGGGAGCATCCAGCCTGTTATCAACACACAGTTCAAGGCCTGCCTCTCTTATGGTATGGGTGTGCATTAGTGATTATGGCATGAGTAGCTTACACATCGAGAAATACGTCATTGTTGCAGAAAGGTATATAAATGTTTAGAACAAACACACACATATATGTATATACTGTATATATGTATATAATAATGTATTATGTATAACCTTTTAAGCCTTTAACATATGTTTATATTTGTAGTGTAAGTTTAAAACATGTTTCTCACTCAGGGGTCCAAAGGTGAAACAGGACCAGATGGGGAAAAGGTGAGAATTTTTTTTTAACAAAACTTATGAAACGTCCAACAAAGATGTAATCCCTTTTTGAAAATACTTATAAAAAGTATTTTATTTACAAAGGGACATATTACTTAAGAGATTTTATACAATCAAAATATATTACATTATGGTCACTTAATGATTTAATGCAGGGTTGTCAAACTCATTTTCACTGAGGGCCACATGAGCGTTATGGTGGCCCTCGAAGGGCCACTTGTGATGAACTTTGATGTTTCATGTTTAACTTTGACTAAACAGAGTTTTAACACATCCTCTTTTAAACACTGACAAGAAATAAGTGTATGACTCACTAAATCTGTAATAAATACAGAAATATTATTAAAAGTAAAACAAAAAAAGTTTTACTCACTGATGAGTTCCTAGTGAGCAGCTGCATTATGGCAGATTTAGTTTATGTTTGATGGTGACTTTAAAGCTGCTTATTTTCATAGATAAGAACTAAGTGTACGACTGACTAAATCTGTAATAAATACAGAAATATTATTAAAAGTAAAACAAAAAAAGTTTTACTCACTGATGAGTTCCTAGTGAGTAGCTGCATTATGACAGATTTAGTTTATGTTTGATGGTGACTTTAAGCAGCTTATTTTCAGACATTAATAATGTGCTATCCAACTAAATTGCTCAGTTACTTCAAGCCAACAGCTCAGGGAC